CAATGTAGAAAACTCTAGACAAGTAGTGTAGATGTATATGATATATACCAGCACGAGTCTATGGTCCAGACATACAATGACCAGGGACTAGGGTGAACAGTAGTACTATAGTACTGATAGTGGGATGAAGCCTATGCCTAGGGCAAGAACTAGGAGTAGGACTAGAATTAAGACTAGGACTAGGACTAGGACTAGGACCCTAAAAATAAACAATACTAGTCTGAGTTCACTTCAATTGATTGCATAATGATCATGCTGACTGACAAAGATAATACTAACCTCTTTTGTAGCTGAGGGTTATTTTAACAATCCCGATGTTGTGAATTGTCTGTGTCAGTTATTTCCACAATGGTACTTGTTGAATATACAAGACAGGAGCTCTGAAGTTATAAAAAGAAACTTACAAGTCTGAAAATGTTAACCTCAAAAAAAAACTTACTTTGGCTTTATCTCCTGCAGAGCAGAAAATATGATTTCATTCAAAATACAAACATCCAATATTGGTTCGATACGTAATGAATCATATAATGTTGAAATTCTCCAAATCCATACAGAGATGATCGAATAATTCGATGGAGATATTTCAATCGGCCATACACTCCCACAAGTACCAAGGAAGAATCAAAAGTGAAAAATTGAAATGTCAGTCAGATATCAAAAATATGAAATGTCACTGCTGTCAATTGCATCGATTTATAGTGATTTATACGCGAAACTGATTCCTCAGATCATACAGGAATCTGAGAATAGTTCTGTGACATATTAAACTTAAATGAACGACAGTATTATCGTGATGACTGATGGCTGGCGCTGAATAATTTATAAGGATGGTGCGAGCAGATTCCAAGTGTAAAATCATCCATGAAACTCTTTATCGTGAGTTCGGATCCTACACTCAGTTAAAGTTTATAACAACCACTAAGGCATTTACTCAGATCTCGAACTAAACTGATATTCATCCGGAATAAATACTCGACAAACAAAATCTGATCAGTGCTTACACCATCCGGATGAACATTTGATGAACAACTATTCGTGTTGCTGCTGAGGAAAAAGTTACGGTTTCACAACTGCTTGCAGACATTCGTGTTCTCAAGACGAACTATCGCTGACGTATTATGGACCCATCTCGGGTCAGAAAGAAAGTATCTGTACTAAGAAAATATCTCACATGTTATCTGTCAACTCTGTCATTGAATATTGACTTATAATTGTCAGAAATCGATTGTCAATTGATTTAATCATTGAAATAAAAATAAAGTAAACAATGATGGATCATTATATTTAAATGATATCTTACTGAGCACATAATATAATGTATGCGACATTGTTTGAAATAAAGGTGAGTACAGTGAGGCGAAATACTGAAAGATAGTTCATAATATAGCATAACATGAAGTTATCATATAGCACAGTGAACATGATACCAAGTGTGACATCGATCTGATACTTAAGAACACGAAATTCAATGATTCCAGAATAATAATAACGGAGAATTCGTAGTGCAAAATAAAACCGTAACAGTGTGCACAACGATGAAGTCGATGTTTCTTCATTTGCCTATTGTATTCGTTATATATTCTTCAATGTCATCTTATACGATCACTGCAATCGTATTTGCTTCAACTGTATGCATGTCAGATGCTAAACTGCAGAGTTACAGTGTAAACAAAATCGAAGTCGAAGTTTCTTGTTCTGCAAGCTGTGTGCGTAATACCTGCTCGAAGGTAGTCCTATATGTTCAAGGTGAACTTGTCTGCTACAAAAGTATCCATGTGAGATGATATAATAGGGAGATATAGTGTGCACAACGATGAAGTCGATATATCCCCATTTACCTGTTGTACTCGCTATATACCCTCCAAAGTAATCTAATATGGTCACTGCAGTCGTATCTGCTTCAACTGTATGCATGCCAGATGTTATACTGCAGAGATACAGTGTAAACATATTCGAAGTCGAGGTTGCTTGTTCTACAAGCTGTGTGCGTTAATCCAGCTTGAAAGTCTTGTAGGGTCATTTCGAACTTGTCTGCTTCAATGAAGTCCATGTTAGATGATAGGATAGAGAGATATAGTGTGCACAACGATAAAGTCGATGTTTCTTCATTTGCCTATTGTACCCGATATAATCCCTTCAAAGTCGTCTCAAACGGTCACTGCAATCGTTCCTGCATCAACAATATGCATGTCAGATGATAGACTGCAGAGTTACAGTGTGAACATGGTCGAAGTTTCTTGTTCTGCAAGTTGTGTACGTTATACCCGCTTAGAAGTCGTCTCATATGGGCATTGCGAACTCGTCTGCTTCAGTAGTATCCATGTGGGATGATAGAATAGAGAGATGAAGTATGCACTCCGATGAAGTCGATGTATCTTCATCTACCTATTGTACTTTCAATATACCCTTCAAAGTCGTCTCATATGGTCACTGCGATCATATCTGCTTCAACTGTATGCATGTCAGATGCTAGACTGCAGAGTTTCTGTGTAATCATAGTCGTAGTCAAAGTTTCTTGTTGTGCAAGTTGTTTGCGTTATACCCGCTTGGGAATCGTCTCATATGGGCATCGCGAACCCGTCTGCTAGAATAGTATCCATGTGAAATGATAGGATAGAGAGATAGAGTGTGCACACAGATGAAGTCGTTGTTTTTTCATCTGCCTATTGTACTTGCTATATATCCTCCGAAGTCGTCTCATGTCACTACGATCATATCTTTTTCAACTGTATGCATGTCAGATGCTAGACTGCAGAGTTACAGTGTAAACATAGTCGAAGTCGAAGTTTCTTGTTCTGCAAGCTGTATGCGTCATACCTTCTTGAAAGTGGTCTCAAATATGGTCATTGCGAACTTGTTTGCTTCGATAGTGTCCATGTGAGATGATAGGAAAGAGAGATCAAGTGTGCTCAACGATGAAGTCGATGTATCTTCATTTGCCTACTGTTCCCGTTATAATCCCTTCAAAGTCGTCTTATTTGGTCACTGCGATCGTTTCTGCTTTAATTGTATGCATGCCAGATGCTAGACTGCAGAATCTCTCTGTTGTGAGCATTATTTAGATTCAGGAAACAATAGACAATGTCTACCTATAAGATGTATAACCGACTTATTATCAAGATTGATAAATTCGAAGTTTCGGCGAACACGCCGGTTTACCGACTCTAGATTGTTGGAATCAAAGTTTTTGGTGGATATGAAAAAGTATAGTACTCCACTCACATATAATGAGCTGTCATATATTCTTCTCGAATGGGCATTCAAGGAGCTAGAATGCAAAGTTTCAAAGTAAACATAGTCGAAGTCGAAGTTTCTTGTTCTGCCTGTTGTGTACGTTATACCCGCTTCGAAGTCGTCTCATATGATCGTTGCGAACTTATATGCTCCAGAGGTAAGAGATGATAGAATAAAGAGATACAGTGTGCAGACTGATGTTGTCAAAGTATCTTCACTCGCCTATTGTTCTCGTTATATGTCCTCTGAAGTCGTCCTATATGGTCAGTGCGATCGTATCTGCTATAACTGTGGGCATGTCAGATGCTAGAATGCAAAGTTACAGTGAAAATATAGTCGAAGTCGAAGTTGCTTGTTCTGCCTGTTGTGTGTGTTATACCCGTTTTGATGTCGTCTCATATGATCGATGCGAACTGATATGCTCCAGAGGTATCTATGTAAGATGATAAAATACAGAGATACAGTGTGCAGACTGATGTTGTCAAAGTATCCTCACTTGCCTATTGATCTTGTTATATGTCCTTCGGAGTCTTTCTATATGGTCAATGCGACCGTATCGTTTTCAACTGTAGGCATGTCAGATGCTAGAATTCAGAGCCACAGTGTAAACATAGTCGAAGTTTCTTGTTCTTCCTGTTTTATGTGTTATTTCCGTTTCGATGTCGTCTCAAATGATCGTTGCGAACTGATATGCTCCAAAGGTATCCATGTGAGATGATAGAATACAGAGATACAGTGTGCGGACTGATGTTGTCGATCGCATCTGCTATAACTGTAGGCATGTCAGATGTTATACTGCAGAGTTACAGTGTAAACATATTCGAAGTCGAGGTTGCTTATTCTACAAGCTGTGTGCGTTGATCCAGCTTAAAAGTCGTCTTGTATGGTCATTTCGAACTTGTCTGCTTCAATGAAGTTCATGTTAGATGATAGGATAGAGAGATATAGTGTGCACAACGATAAAGTCGATGTATCTTCATTTGCCTATTGTACCCGATATAATCCCTTCAGAGTCGTCTCAAACGGTCACTGCAATCGTTCCTGCATCAACAATATGCATGTCAGATGATAGACTGCAGAGTTACAGTGTGAACATAGTCGAAGTTTCTTGTTCTGCAAGTTGTGTATGTTATACCCGCATAGAAGTCGTCTCATATGGGCATTGCGAACTCGTCTGCTTCAGTAGTATCCATGTGGGATGATAGGATAGAGAGATGAAGTATGCACTCCGATGAAGTCGATGTATCTTCATCTACCTATTGTACTTTCAATATACCCTTCAAAGTCGTCTCATATGGTCACTGCGATCATATCTGCTTCAACTGTATGCATGTCAGATGCTAGACTGCAGAGTTTCTGTGTAATCATAGTCGTAGTCAAAGTTTCTTGTTGTGCAAGTTGTTTGCGTTATACCCGCTTGGGAATCGTCTCATATGGGCATCGCGAACCCGTCTGCTAGAATAGTATCCATGTGAAATGTCAGGATAGAGAGATAGAGTGTGCACACAGATGAAGTCGTTGTTTTTTCATCTGCCTATTGTACTTGCTATATATCCTCCGAAGTCGTCTTATGTCACTACGATCATATCTTTTTCAACTGTATGCATGTTATTCTTCGCTAATGGCTGTCAGCAAGTAGTCGATAGTCGTCTACGCTCCTAGTATTCAAAGATATGCAGTATTCAAAACAGTTGTGTTTGATCTAAAATCTAGTACACCCGTGAATTAGTGTGTGCCCTATCAAAGTGTGGAATCAACGACAAAAAATGGTACTCACACGAGAAGTTACGAAAGAAATTAAGAATGCAGAAAGCAATGCTATGGATAGGATTTTAAGAGATCAGAAGTTCATAAAAGCTTTAACCGATAATGTAGCAGAGGCAGTAATAGACTCGGTGAGCAAAAAGTTATCGGATATAGAACAAAAACGAAGAAATTTCGAACATGACTTGCGAGAATTGAAACGTGATAATGAGTACAAATTTAATACACTGGATGTTTCTATAAAGAAGGTGATTAAGGAAAAGGTTTCCATGTTACAAAAATACGATAATATGGAACAGGAAACAAGAAGAAACAATCTGAGAGTATTCAATTACCAGGAAAAGAATACGGAAGACACAAGACAGGAAATAATGAAGCTCTTCAACCATAAATTGTCGACAAAATTAACAGATGATGATATCGAAATTTGTTACAGAATTGGGAAAAAAGAAGAAAACCAGAAACCAAGGGGAATTTTCATGAAGCTCAAAAATCATGATTTGAAGCAAGACATTTACAAAAGGAAAAAACTGTTGAAAGGGACTGGTGTGATAATAAGAGAAGACCTAACAAGAGCGCGGGTTGAACTACTAACAAAAACCATTGAGAAAGTTTCAATAAAAAACGCATGGACTGATGCTGGAAAAATATATGTAAATAACAACAGTAAAATCTCTATAATCAGGTCCTTAGACGATTTCGAGAGAATCTTTGGATCAAACTCAAATTAATATATAGAACCACTAGGAGAGTAGAATTCATCATGAATTATATTTTGGTATTGCCTTACAATTATTATAAGAATTTTATTTTGTTTTATTTTATCTCCTTGTAACCAAATCTTAATTTCATTTTCAAAACGTATTCTAAATGTTAGATTTTCTGAATGTATTAGATTCCCAAGAGGACATCAGAACAAAAAAATATAACAATTTAGAAGAATGTGTAAAAGAAGTACGAAGTGATGGAAAAGTGGAGAGAATAAGTTTTATACACTTCAATGTGAGGTGTATCCAGAAAAACTTGGACCAGCTGCTAGTATATTTAGAACCAGAAATTGAAAACATAGATGTATTGGTCTTGTCGGAAACTTGGAATATTAACTTGGTGAGTGATTTTCAAATCTCTAATTTCACAATAAATTATAATGAATCTAAAACAAATCAAAATGATGGTTGTGTTATATATATCAGAGATACATTATCAGTAAATACGGAAATCATTCCTTTGACTGAAACGAAATTGATACGTGTCTCTTTATCTAAGAATAATAATCATAATATAGGAATCACTGCCTCATATAGACCTCCATCAACAAATATGCAATTATACGTGGATGAATTGAATCAATATTCATCAAATGTAATTAAAAATAAAATTGAAATACTTATAGGGGACATTAATATTAATTTATTGAATACATTTTCGAACAACGTTAATAACTATGTCAATATTTTAGCAGAACAGGGATTTGTTTCATACATAAATGAAGTAACCAGGCAAACTGATCAAACAGGAAGTATTATTGATCACATTTTTGTCAGAAAAGATAACTCTACAAAGAATGTCTCTATATCATCGGCTATAATAGAAACCAACCTCTCCGATCACTTCACAACAATTCTATTATTAGTCAGATCCCAAGAAAATAACTCTGCATCGTAAACAAAAAATATAACCGATGTCAAGGAAAAAACTTACTTAAAAAAACTGCATGATTATTTGAACAATGAGACTTGGGATGACGTCATGAACTATAGAGATAGCCAATTGTCTCATAATGTTTTTCTTGAAAAACTTTTAAATTACATCAATACGTCATCGAAAAGTTATAGCGTATCTAAAAAAGAAAGTCATAAATTGAAACCATGGATAACGATAGGACTGATAAATTCTATCAAACATCGTGATTTATTGAAAAAAAGACTTAGGAAAAGAGAGTCAGAAGAGCTGCGTCAGGAGTATAATCTGTACAGGAATAGACTAACCAAATTGATAAAGATAACTAAAAATCAATATTATAAACAAAAGCTAAATACATCGAGAGGAAACTGTGAAAAAACGTGGGAGATAATTAATGAAATCTCAAATAATAACTCCAATAAAAAGTCATTGAGTGGTGTGGATATTAAATTGGCTAACGGCAATATATTATCCGATAATAAAAGTAAAGCTGATGCATTCAATGATTACTTCGTAAATGTTGCTTCCGACATGGCTAAAACAATTACCAAACCAAAAAACATCCCGGCAAACTTTTTAAGGGATATTTCAGTAGGACCTACTTTGTTTCTCAAGCCAGTCACAGAGACTGAAGTAATAAATATCATATCAGATCTCAAAAATAACTGTTCTCCTGGACCAGATAAAATTACTTCTGAGATTGTAAAAGATATAAGAAAACATATAGTAGCACCATTAGTACACATAATAAATCTAACATACAACAGTGGAATTTTACCGACACAGTGGAAAGAGTCGATTGTGACACCCATTTTCAAAGCTGGAAAAAAAGACCAATTAGGTAACTATCGCCCAATCTCAGTGATTAATAACTTCGCAAAAATTTTTGAACGGTCAATGAAAAAATGGTTAGTAGACTTTTTTGACATTCATCATGTGATGAGTAAAAGGCAATATGGATTCATCAAAAATTCAAATACTGAGAATGCAGTACTTGATCTCACGAATGAAGTTATCGAGGCACTGGACAGCTCGGAAAAATGCTATGCAATCTTTCTAGATCTGGCCAAGGCCTTTGATACAGTGTCACATGATGAATTAATAAATAAGTTATATAGATACGGAATTCGAGGACCTACGTTAGATATTTTGCGGAATTATTTATCAAATAGATTTCAGAGGGTCAAAATTGAAAACGAACAAAGTTCACCATTGAAAATCACTGTCGGGGTGCCGCAAGGAACCGTGTTGGGACCAATTCTGTTCCTTGTGTACATTAATGACTTAAGTAAGATTAATGACTTCGGATGACATATTATCTCCTTTGCTGACGATACTGCACTAATATACACCGGAGAAACATGGGCCAAAGTATATGCCAATGCAGCCAAAGGTTTGAAAGACACCAAAGTCTGGCTAGACGATAATATCCTCAGTCTGAATATAAACAAAACTGAATTCATTACATTTACTTTGACAAATAATGATCAACCAGATTTCAATGAACTACCTATAAACTCTACCGAATGCTTGAACCAAAGGGCTTGTAACTGTCCAACAATCGGAAAAGTAGCAAATATTAAATATTTAGGAATACTTTTGGACCAACATATGAGATGGGACGAACACGCTATCTTTGTAATAAAGAGACTTAAACAACTGACAAATAAATTCTATAATCTGAGAAAAGTTCTAACAAGAGAAAATTTACAAACTGTCTACGTCTCACTTGCAGAATCAGTTATAAGATATTGTATTACAGTTTGGGGAGGTATGTTTAGTAATGTTATGAACAGTCTGCAGGCTATGCAAAATACAATAATCAAAATAATTCTTAGAAAAAATCGACTATTTCCCACTGAGAAACTATATGAAGACACTAAATTACTGAACATAAGAAGTCTATATGCTTTTCAGTGCTTAGTTTGGATGTTCGCCAACAGAATAAAATACCAAGTCCCAAATAAATATAAAACTCGATTCGCAGATAATCTATCTATCAATCTGCCAATTTTTAGAAAAACCCATACCCAAAGAAGCATATTTTTTTATGGTCCAAAACTTTACAACTCACTCCCAGTAGAATTGAAAAAAATCAATAGATTAAATCGATACAAAATAGCCCTTAGAAATTTCATCAGTCAAAATCAGGTAATTATGAAGAATATCTTTTGAACAAAAAAAAAATCATTTGACTAAAGCTGATGACTTAAATCTCAATCCATACCCAAATCATCAAGAACTTTTCAACACCACTTCTTATTCTTTTCCATCACTTCCTATAAAAAAAAAATTCTTTTTTTTATCGTTACAGGATACATTCATCACCAATCTACTATTCATTGCTACATAATAATATATGATAGCTACTCGATTAATGTATGTCGCTAAGGAGAAATGTTAACTGACCGATATACGCCGTAACACTCATGGACGAATCACAACACAAGCATTTCTGTGCTTAGGTGAAGCGTCCAGATTTTTACGGTGTAATAATAACAATAATATTGTATACCATCATGTAATGTTCTTCGATAGCTATGAATATATGAATATGAATATGAATATGAAACATAGTCGAAGTCGAAGTTTCTTGTTCTGCAAGCTGTATGCGTCATACTTTCTTGAAAGTGGTCTCGAATATGGTCATTGCGAACTTGTTTGCTTCAATAGTGTCCATGTGGGATGATAGGGAAGAGAGATCAAGTGTGCTCAACGATGAAGTCGATGTATCTTCATTTGCCTTCTGTTCCCGTTATAATCCCTTCAAAGTCGTCTTATTTGGTCACTGCGATCGTTTCTGCTTTGATTGTATGCATGCCAGATGCTAGACTGCAGAGTCTCTCTGTTGTAAGCGTTATTTAGATTCAGGAAACAATAGACAATGTCTACCTATAAGATGTATAACCGACTTATTATCAAGATTGATAAATTCGAAGTTTTGGCGAACACGCCGGTTTACCGACTCTAGATTGTTGGAATCGAAGTTTTTGGTGGATATGAAAAAGTATAGTACTCCACTCACATATAATGAGCTGTCATATATTCTTCTCGAATGGGCATTCAAGGAGCTAGAATGCAAAGTTTCAAAGTAAACATAGTCGAAGTCGAAGTTTCTTGTTCTGCCTGTTGTGTACGTTATACCCGCTTCGAAGTTGTCTCATATGATCGTTGCGAACTTATATGCTCCAGAGGTGTGAGATGATAGAAAACAGAGATACAGTGTGCAGACTGATGTTGTCAAAGTATCTTCACTTGCCTATTGTTCTCGTTATATGTCCTCTGAAGTCGTCCTATATGGTCAGTGCGATCGTATCTGCTATAACTGTGGGCATGTCAGATGCTAGAATGCGAAGTTACAGTGAAAATATAGTCGAAGTCGAAGTTGCTTGTTCTGCCTGTTGTGTGCGTTATACCCGTTTTGATGTCGTCTCATATGATCGATGCGAACTGATATGCTCCAGAGGTATCTATGTAAGATGATAAAATACAGAGATACAGTGTGCAGACTGATGTTGTCAAACTATCCTCACTTGCCTATTGATCTTGTTATATGTCCTCCGGAGTCTTTCTATATGGTCAATGCGACCGTATCGTTTTCAACTGTAGGCATGTCAGATGCTAGAATTCAGAGCCACAGTGTAAACATAGTCGAAGTCTCTTGTTCTCCCTGTTTTATGCGTTATTTCCGTTTCGATGTCGTCTCAAATGATCGTTGCGAACTGATATGCTCCAAAGGTATCCATGTGAGAGGATAGAATACAGAGATACAGTGTACGGACTGATGTTGTCGAAGTATCTTCATTTGCTCATTGTTCTCGTTATAAGTCCTTCAAAGTCGTCTCATATGGTCAGTTCGATCGCATCTGCTATAACTGTAGGCATGTCAGATGCTAGAATGCGAAGTTACAGTGTAGACATAGTCGAAGTCAAAGTATCTTGTTCTGCCTATTGTGTGCGTTATACCCGCTTTGATGTCGTCTTATATAATAGTTGCGAACTCATATGCTCCATAGGTATCCATGTGAGATGATATGATACAGAAATA